TCAGTTCAGTTAAAATTGCAACGTGGTAATTTAATTTTAATTCAACGAGAACTATAATTATTCAATTTTATTTCATTGTAAATTACGATAATCAAATGCAATTTCAATTCAATAAATTTTTAAATAAATTTTAACTCAGTAAATATTAAAATAAATTTTAATTGAATAAAAGTGACGAAAAATAGCAAAAGCTCTTTCAGTATAACAAATATTTGAACAATCGACAGTCACAGAATATTTCCGTAATATTTCAGGATAATAATAAAAATTCTTGGGAACATTTCGTCGATTGATACTTCTTGCACAGCATTCCGCGATGCTCTATTAAGAGCTTCAATTTCGACAAAACAAAGAATCTCCCTCGTGTCTCACATTTTTTCCCGTAAATATTCGATCGATATGGATTCTTCTATGCATTCCTGCACGAAGTTGATGATTACCTATTGTTAATGCAAAGCTATTTCTACCGAAACCAGCAAAAATATCAAATATTTTTATATTTATTTATTTACTTATATTATATTTTTATATTTATTAATTTACTTATATTATATTTTGATACTTATTAAGAGGATCTTATGCAATTATAAACACTGTACGACAACTGTAGCTATGATAATACAGGATTGACAAGATGGAAGAGGCTTAGAGTCACACACTAAATATTTTCTAATTCCGGACATTTTATCTAATTATCTGTAAAGTTCAATTTTCTTCCAATTCACTTTCTCGTACAATTCATCCTCGATTGGTATATCGTTCACTTTCAGCAACGATTCACAGATTTTCGTTTGCCATTTCGAGGGCTTATTGTACGAAAAAGAATCGGGTGCAACGACCGGTACACAAAATGGCGGCGCGAAACAACATGGATGACCACGTGACGTTACATCGCGGCCATGTTGTGGCAGTAAGACGCGCGATCAAATTTCCTGAGAAGTCGATAAATCTATCTAAATATCTAATTAACGATTTCGGGTTCGGTAAACGGATTATAGGATACCTTTCCACTTTGACAGGCACCAGTATTGCCATGATACAAAATTATTTCGATTCCGAATAAATGAAACGGAAATAAAATTCAGTATAGCTGCAAAAGTCACCGCTGAAATAAGTATGAATAACAAGTTCGAAGTAAGAATTTTAAAATGAAATTGTAAAACCCATCATATTTGTGTTAAACCTAATGTTTATAATTTTAGAAGCAACATGTCTATTTAACACTGAAAACGTAATCATAATTTAAGTAACATATTTGATAAACTTCATTAGCAAACCACAGCGAAACTTCTTAAATCACTGCTTGATGAATCCTCGCTTGATAAATCACCGCTCAATAAATCACCGCTTCCAAAAAAATCGCACTACAAAATTCTTCGTTCCCAATAAATGAAATACGCACCGACAATTTACGTGTTTAATTACAAAATTACAAAACGACGAATTTACTCGGGGAGGAACAATTAAAAAAAGGTTATCGAGTAAACGATGATTGAAATAAATTGAAACTCGTCGTTCGTAAATTAAATTTTATAATTTTCCTGCGCGTTGAAAACAGCATGGAGAAGTACCGGCCAGAATCACCTGTGCATATATACATATATATATGTACACATATGTGTACGTGCTTCATTCGCACACTCGCGTGTCGATTTAATTGAATTTTAGGTAGCCGTGTAATCGAATCCTAGGTACAACTGCGATTACGAAAGTCGTTCTATGTTTAATGCCCTGCAGGGAAATAGTAAATGCAATTTGGAACGTCCTGTGGCCTGGTTAATTTATTGATATCGGTACCGTCGTGTAATTTTCACTCGGTGTTAATAATGTACGATGGAGTTATAAACGTGACACCTCTGTGCAACAACGAAGAATCTGAAATAGGGGAAATATTGCTTCCGTGTAGCCTTGTAATTAATTTTAAGTGGTTTGGTGTCTTTTAGGTTAGGTTAAGGCTGTAACATTTTTAACGTGGTTGAACTTTAACTTACCTTGAAAGATTGGTTTCAGTAGTAATTATGGTGAGTGATTAAAATAGACGTACTGTGTATAAACAAATTCTCTGTGATTTTATTGCAATTTTAATGAATGCATCAAGTAAGTCATAATCGAGTGGTAACAAAAAATTGAACGACACAATGCGGTATTAACAAAAACTTGAATGTTGTAACCAAGTATTAAGAAAATCTTGAAACTCATGATCAAGTGTTAACAAAAACTTGAAAGTCGCAGTCGAATATTAACAAAAAATTGAAAAATTTTAACCTTGTATTAACAAAAACTTGAAAGCCACAATGAAGTAATAACAATTACTTGAATGTCATTATTAAGTGTTAATAAAAAAACTTGAAAGCCACAATGCAGTAGTAAAAATAAGTTTAAGGTGACAATAAAATATTAACAAAAAACTTGAAACCCACAATCAAGTGTATATTAATAAAAACTTCACAAACAAATATTAACAAAAACTTGAAAATCACAATCAAGTATTAACAAGAAGCTTGAAAATCACAATCAGGTATTAACAAGAAGCTTGACAGTCCCAATCAAGTATTAATAAAAACTTGAATGTTAGAACTAAGTAAGTATTAACAGGACCTTGAAAATAGCACATGAGTGTTAACAGAAATTTGAAAATCACAATCAGATATTAACAGAAAGATAGAGAGTTCCAATTAAATCTTAATAAAAACTTGAAGGTCACAATCAAGTACTAACAAAAGACTTGAAGCTCACAGCCAAGTATTAACATCAACTTGAAATTCACAAACGAGTATCAACAAAAACTGGAAAATCACAATCAAGTAATAACAGAAATCTCCAGAGCTACACTAAGGTAATAGCAAAAACTTAAAAATCACTAGCATGGATTACTGAAAACTAAAATGAAGAATTAACCGAAAACTTGAAACTCACAATCGAGTATTAACAAAAACTTGAAAGCCACAATGTAGTGCTAACAAAAAACTTGACACTCACAACCAGGTGTTAATAAAACTTGAAACTCGCAATCGAGTATTAACAAAAACTTGAAAGCCACAATGTAGTGCTAACAAAAAACTTGAAACTCACAACCAGGTGTTAATAAAACTTGAAAGTCACAATGTAATGTTAACAAAGACTTGAAAGTTAGAATGGAGAAGTAGCAAACTTGACAGTGACAATGAAAAACTACCAAAAAAACTTGAAAGTCACAATGTAGTATTAACGACAACTTGAAGACCACAATGAAGAATTAACAAAAAACTGAAAACTCACAATCGAGTGTTAATAAGAACTTGAAAGTCACAATGAAGAATTAAAAAAAAAGTGGAAGCTCACAATGTAGTAATAACAAAAAACTTGAAACTCGCAATCGATAATTAACAAAAACTTGGAAGCCACAAAGTAGTATTAACAAAAACTTGAAAGTCACAACCACGTACTAACAAAAACTTGAAAGTCACAATGTAGGGTTAACAGAAAACTTGAAAGTCACAATGTAGTGTTAACAAAAACTTGAAACTCACAACCGAGTGTTAACAAAAACTTGAAAGTCTCACTTTAGTGTTAACAAAAACTTGAAAATCACAGCCAAGTACTAACAAAATCTTGAAAGTCATAGTTAAGTACTGACAAAAACTTGAAAGTCATAGTCAAGTACTGACAAAAACTTGAAAGTCACAATGTAGGATTAATAGAAAACTTGAAGATCACAATATAGTGTTAACAAAAACGTGAAACTTACAACCAAGTGTTAACAAAAACTTGAAAGTCACACTTTAGTGTTAACAAAAACTTGAAAATCACAACCAAGTACTACCAAAAACTTGAAAGTCACAATGTAATGCTAACAAAAACTTGAAAGTCACAACCAAGTACTAACAAAAAATTGAAAACCACCTCCAATCACTAACAAAAACCTGAAAATCACAATCGACTGCTAATAAAACCTTGCAACTCCCCATCAAGTACTAACAAAAACTCGAAAATCCCCCAACTATTAAAAATTCAAAAATCACGATAAACCACAACCGAATCAATACAATAAAAAATAAAACCACAGAAAAATTACCAAAAAAATTGAAAAGTACAGTAAAAATTGTGAAGTAATTCATTACGTACCAGAAATTGGACATCAAGTTTCCATTAAGAGAAGAAGCATCGGGTCTACCACTTCTGTTAACAACTGCCTCTCATCCCCAGCCTACTCCCGATCCCCCTTTTGCTTTATCCGCTACTTTGCCACCACTACGGCATAATCATGGCTGGAAATCCGCGAACGTATCAGGCTTTAAATACTTCTGTCGATCGCTTTGAAGAGCAAAAGGACTACATGCCTCGCATGTACATATATGTGCATCTCTTCTTAGTGAACTGTTCGGAGTCTTTCGGATACGGCTGGCTCAGCGATTTCAACAGCAACCTGGTTGTTACTTTGCGGTTCAATAGCTCCTTTATGAGGATGTCTCACACCGTCGACAGACTTTCAGGCGATTTTCCTCTTCAGGCAGAATACTAATCCACTGATTTTTGGGTTTGGGTGAATATGGTGACTGCGATTGGTTTTTGGGATAGGGGGTGGGATTGTTTTTGGGATAAGATTGTGAGCTCGATTAGGATGATTTTTATAATTGTTATATATTGTTATTTGAGAGGATTGTAATCTATTGATCTTCGATTTTTGGTCAATTGAATATTGGTAATTTTATTTTAGAGAATTCATTATAACCTAAGGGTTGATTTCACCAAAGGGGCGATTTTTAATAATTATAACAAGTTTTGTTTTTAAAAAAATATCTACCTCCTCTTACTTTTCTCCCATTTTTCCCACATTTCTAAAAAACCATTAACAAGTCACAGATTAACGAAACGTATATTATAGCGCGATATTCGAATTGTTTGAGCGATGTCTTCGCGCGAAGACGAAATTTCTCGTCGTAATTACACGCCGAGATATACAAGACGTGATTACACGCGGAAATAATTTCATGGCCCTTTGTTCTGATGTTCTGTTGCAGATACAAGTGTACGGCTTCAATGCTGAATTGTATCACAATATGAGCGAGGCGCAGCACAAGAGTCAAGGCTTGGTCGCGATATCGTTAATGGTTCAGGTAAGTGATCGATATTCGCTACAAGACTTTATTATCATACTTCGTTAAATCGTCTAAGATACTACTGTATTTCGTTCGGGAATGGGGAAATCGATCACGCGATTTCGAGTGGAAATTACATGGAATGAGTACATTGTGGCACAAGGGTAGATTCATGGACGCTAGGATATGAAATTTGATGTTTGAAAACGTTGGTATTTGACATTTTGGAAGTTTCGGAATTATGGAATTTTGGAAATTTAAAATTTGGGGAATTTGGCACTTAGAGAATATGTAATTGGGTAATTGGTTTATTTTCATGTTCTTAGAAACACTTGGTTGTGAGTTTCAATTCTTTTCTTAATACTTCATTGTGACCTACAATTGTGCAACGTGTGGTAATCCTACGCGTAGTAATACAACGTGTAGTAATCCAGCGTGTGGATATCCAACGCGTAGTAATCCAGCGCGTGCATATTCAACGCGTAGTAATCCAACGCGTAATAATGCAACGCGTGGTAATTCT